GGGGAGAAAAAAAGGAGCCCCCCCCCCCCCCCCCCCCCCCCCCCTCCCCGATCCAGTTCTCACTCACTTTAGGCTTCGCCCTTCTCTGATATCAATCGTGTTTCCCACACTTAATATAACTACGTCCCTAACCCTAACCCTGCTACTCTGTACACGACACTCTGTTTCTTCTCCCAATACCGCGACTAGGTGTGGATAATCCAAACTGGTAAGTGCCTCCTAACGTTGGTCAACGCAGCAGCAGCAGCAGCAGCTGCCGACGGGGTGGCGGTTTTGCCAAGACCTGGCGCGGCGCGCCTGGCCGTATCCCGTTGCGGCAGGTTAGTAGCGTTTGCGATAGGCGCACGCATCAAGGTCATAGATTTCGACAGACTTGTCGACCGCAGCGCGGCGGGGGGGAGGTTGGGGCACCTGGCGGCTGCATACCTTCGGCAAGCGCTTCATTTCGTCGTTTCGCCGACGACGTAAACATCCATTTTTTGTTCTTTTACCGCAGACGATTTTTGGTATTCCCCCCCACAAACAAACACAAACGACCGAGAAGCGATAAAAATGTATGTGCATACTAATACCTCGTTGTGCGAGTACTCGACGAGATCACTAGTATCTACGTAGCCTTCGTACTGAAGGGATGCTCCCCACCACTGATAGCCACTGCTTCTTCCTCTAGATATTTGTATTACATGAAGCGTTCGCTGGTGTGTCGCGGTTGTTAATTAATTGCAAAGGAATACCCGGAAGGAAGCGTGGACTAGACTATGTAAGAAGGGTTCAAAATAGTATCAAGACACGGATAATAACCCCAGGGTCCGCACGGTTGTTCACACGATGGGGGTGGCGAGCGAGGGCGAGCGGTGGAAATGTTGGGATAGATAGAGAGCGCGGTGTTCGGACACCAACACCGGGCTAGGCATTGTGCGAACCAGGACGACAGACACTGCGAGCGATGGGGGGAAATCAGATGATGAAACACAAGCAGGAGAGAATTAGTGACCGAAGCACTTGCTGTAAATATTTAGAGAGGCTCTTTGTTTTTCTGTCGTGTGGTTTGAAGTGAGCGAGGAACGGGTTGATAGAGTCATGGCACTCTAGGGCGAGATCCACTTGGAAGGAAGTGGGTCGATGCCGGGAAACGGGGATAGATCGGAATATATCCCGCATTCATATCCCCTCAAGTTGTCACTCTCTGATTTGCAATAGCACTGCTCCTGAAAGTTCAGTGACGCACGTGAGCTACCACGTACTACCAGGTATTTACAAGAGAAGAGAGTACATAAAACTGTTCGCGCCTAGCGGGGGAAACGCTTGAGAAATAAACGTGCCGGTCACGTACACACACCTGTTTTTTCATTTGACGAAGTTCATTAATTTGTCGGCAAATCCCTATTATTGTTGCTCGGCCCACTTTGCCTTGCGCAAGACTTGGCTTCTGCGGCAGAAGCC